TCTCTGTTGTGGTGGGTCTTCATTTACCATGCTGCATTAAAGGCAAATTAGTGCTATAGAAAAACTTTCCTCTAAGAATCTTAAGCATAATGTTCCTTTTGGGAGGAGTATCAGAATCTACAAAACAGTTATTTTGTATTCGTCCTGAGGTGTTAGGCACACATATGTGATATGGGATAACAGTCATTAGTAAAAAAGTACAGGCCCAGGACACCGATATTACAGCAAGAACACGGCTGAACTACAGGGAAATGGTGTTTATAAATCATTACTTCGTTTACAGATTTAAAGTGAATTTCCACTTTTGCAGCCAAATTGGGATAATACTTATTATATATTTGTTACATGTTCCCATTCACATAACTTAAAAAAATGTTACATTGCTGCTTGCACAAAACAAGTTCTATTCTGAAAGAAAAGCTGTACTGTACAGAATTTCTCTCTGGGATGCAAGGGGGCTGAGGAGGGTAATGTTTGCAATAATTAATGCTGTCTGTACTAAGCTGGCAGACCTCATTAACAGTTGTAAACTAGATTTGAATGCTGTCTGTCCTAGCAAAGGGTTAAAGCTCTTGCATTTTATGAGGGGGGAGCTCAGTCTTTCCTTATTCTTTCTCTTAGGGCAGTCATAGTTTCCTGTTAATACAGATATCTAAAAGGTTAGACATATTGTTTTTTAATCTATTTTAGATATGATGTGTAAATAGGAACCCATAACAAACATTCAGTGGAGGTTTTCTCAATTTTGATTGCAAAAGTGGAAATACAATTTACCCCCTTCATGGCTTGTTTATAGTTTCTGTGCGTTAATTACTGACGCACTTTAAAATTTTTGCTGTGTGATTCTTCCACAGCACTAATATACGTTCTTACTAAGTACACCCACAGATATTTTATATTGTTTTTTAGAGGACATGTAGGGCTATATATTTACAGGTATTCCTCACTTAACAACCGAGTTCCGTTCCTACGACCAGGTCGTTAAACGAATTGGTCGTTAAGTGAGGAACTCTATACAGTACTGTACTGCATTTGTACAGTACTGTATAGCGTTGCAGATGTACAGTACCGAACAGTGTACTGTACATCGGGCAATGAAAATACTTACCGGGACCCGCAGTGAAGATCGGAGGACATCACTTCTGCCGGCGACACGTCGCACTGACGCTAACACGCGAGGTCGGAGGTCGATCGTCGGTCCGTCGTAAGTGCGAGTGGTCGCAAAGCAGGTAAGTCGGTAACCGAGGAATGTCTGTATATAACATATGTGTACTGGAATGTAAGCAGGCAGACTCTCTGCGTTCCGGTGCGGGAGGGGGTGTGGAGCTGTATTGTGTATATAGGATAAACAGGCACCATTGTAAGAAGATTGAGGCCCATTTTTCTGCAGACAGAGATTCCAAATGCAGAAGATATTACATGTAACAACAAAGATCCCATTTTTTTATTGGGAAACAAAAATGTAATATGCTCCTTTTTTTAACCACGTCAGTTCTCACACCTGTATACACCTTATGTACCAGAGCAATTTCTACATTTCCGCTAAGAGCCTAGAATACAGCAATACATTAGTCATTACGTAAGATAACAATGTAATGAAAGTAAAATAAAAAGTCCAATATATTGTTTTTTAGTACAAACAAGGCTTTCTCTTGGCAATATTGTTCTGAATAAAAAATGTTTATGCAATCAAAAAAGAAAAGGTATAATTGAACAAAAAAATTTCACTTTTCTCTCCCGTTCATTGAAGGACACAGGGCAACAGATTGTAGATCCTGAATGGTAGGGTATATGGCCCCCCTGCAGGAGTAGGACGCTAGGCACATAACAAAAAGACAAGACAGCCCAACCCCCCACTTGCTGACAAGTCTCCAGTTTTTTGCCTAGCGTCAGGAGTAAGGAGCTAAACATTTTTCTCTGGAGAATTGTTTTCCTTTCTTCCGTTTGACTTGATTTTTTTCTTCTAGCAAGTGTCCCCAAGGCGACATGTTGGATGACTGTAGATCCTTGTAGTCTTCCCTGGGTGACCGACGAGCGCATGCAGACTCTGCCACGGTGGGTCGGCTGCGACAGGTGGTCCTCCCTGACGCCTATGGGTTCGTCCTGGGGGGTGCTTATGACCGGGGGTCCTGGCCCACCGGTCACTGTACTCCCTGCAGGCTGGCGACGATGCGGCCACGTGGGCGTTTTTCTGCCGGTTCCCTACTTCTCCTGGATCCTGGCCATGGAATCCGGTCTTCCCTCGTGGGGGTATGTATGTGGGTTCTCCGGTGGATGTCGTGAGGACCTGGACCTGAGGTAAGATTGGAGGCTGCACTGGTCCCTGTCACGGCTGCAGTCTCCTGTGTTTTCCACTCTCCCTTCCCCTCCAAACCCTCCCCCTACCTCATGGTGCTCTGCGGGGGTCCATGGATGGCTTGGCTCCTGTGGGGGCTTCCTCTGGGGGGACTTGGGCTTTGGGGGTGTTCTGGCCACTTGATACTAGCGGAAATGTCCGTGGCTTGCACCGCTCGTTGGACGGCCGCTACGGGAGGCCCCGGTCTGATTGGGGCCTCCGGGTGGCTCCACGGCCTCTGTCTGGGCTTGCTTAGGCCCCTGGAGGGGCTCATGTGGGGTTGTAGGTGGGGGGCTGGCGCTCTAATGGCCTCCTACTGCCGCCCTTATCAGGCGGCCGCATCCGCGGATAGCGCTGCTCGTACGGCGGCCGCTACTCGAGGCCCCCCGCTTTTACGGCCTCCAGGCGGCTGCGGACTCGACGGTGGTCGCCCATTCGCTTTTGCATGCAGGTCCTGGGTCTCATGGTGGCCTCCTTCGAGGCGGTGTCCTTTGCGCAGCACCAAACCAGGACCCTGCAGAGGAACATCCTGGATATAGTGGGACAAGTCCCCCCTATCCCTGGACAGGGAAATTCAGAGAGCCTCCTTGCGGTGGTGGCTTCATTCTCCGGCCTTGGTGCGGGGGAAGTCTTTCCTTCCTGTGCACTGGACGGTAGTCACCACGGATGACGGGCTGGGGGGGAGTCCTGGGCGCCTTGATCGCCGGAGGAGTCCCGTCTGTCGATAAATGTGTTGGAACATCGGGCAATTCGCCTTTCTCTCCTTCATTGGTCGACCCGGCTTCAGGATCTGGCGGTTCGGGTCCAGTCGGACAACGCCACCGCGGTGGCGTAAATCAACCACCAGGGCGGTACACTCCTAACTGCTTGTTACTTACTGTCATGGCCTGCATGGCCTACTGTCCGAACAGCTGCGTCATCGTGCCGATGCCGAGTGCGTTCCAAGCTGGAACGCATCGGCATATGCGGTGGACGCCGCTTACACTTACTGGAGACTTGTCAGCAAGTGGGGGGTTGGGCCACCAGCAGGGACTGCCCCTAGGCTGTCTTGTCATTTTGTTATGTGCCTAGCGTCCTACTCCTGCAGGTGGCGATATACCCTACCATTCAGGATCTATGATCTGTTGCCCTGTGTCCTTCAATGAACGGAGAGAAAAGGATGTAACGGGGAGTACAAAAATCCTATTTTTCTAGTTTGACCAGGGTTAGTCTTTAAACAAGTGTTCCTGTCAATTAAAATATGTACACTGTATTCTATAATTTCTCCTGTGTATAATGACACTAAAAGTTTGTTTATATTACAAAGCACACCAAGGTTATTTACAAATTATTTGCAAATGTTTTTTAAATGCGTCACTAAAAAAATACTAAAAAAGATCAAACTACCGGAAATTTAAAAAAGGTAATTTGGGCTACATAGGGTTATCTAAAGATCACTAAGGGGTTAACTAGGAACTCAGTTCATGACGTCATATGCAGATCAAAAGTCACCCCTCTCTATCTGCTATGAATGAACCAAAAAGTTACAATGATACAATATTAACATTGCTATATCGTAACTCTTCTTGACAACCGCAGACTGTTCTGTGAGTGTCGGCTTACACTTCTGAATAAGAGAAGTCATTTTGACATCTGGTCATTACCGGTAAATGTGGCATAATGGACTGGGTGCACTACACATGCCCAAAGAATTTAGATCAGAGGTATCCAAACTTTGTCCCTCTAACTGTTGTGGAACTACACATCCCATAGGGCATTGCAAGATTCTGACAGCCACAGGCATGACTCCCAGAGCCAGATGCATGAAGGCACTTGTAGTTTCACTTCAGCTGGGGGGACGAGGTTTGGCTACTACTGATTTAGATGAAGTGTGTTAGGGGTGTGTAATGTAACTGGTAAACAAACAGTTTAAAAGGGTATCATTGGGGGGGGCGTGGCCTGAGCATGGCGGCGAGTGGCAGCTAAACGGCTGAGCTCTGCAGACCGGGGGTGATTATCACAGCAAACCTACCAGATAACGACTCCACTGCCCCATGAGGAGGACCGGTAAGCAAGCTCACCATAAAATGCCTTAAGGGAGGGGGCAAACATTATTACCTGAACCGATCTTACAACCTGTTATCAAGTTTTATACTATATGACTCACTGTTTGGTATTTACACAATATGCGAGACCATGTGGTCTCTACATGTTCTATCTTTCAATGTACCCCTCCCTTTTTGTTTGAAAATAAAGAATTAAAAAAAAAAAAAAGGGTATCATTGATAGTGTCCATTGTCCATGAGTCATATGGTGAGCAAGCAAGCATTGCATAGTTTAATCTTACATTGTGTGATTGTTTATTCTAATTTGTGCAAAATAGGGTGTTCCTGATGATTTGAGCAGTAGCCAATAACTTTCAGACTGTAATTATCTTATTCTGTGAATTATAGTAGCCAATATACAGTAATTCAGACTGTAAATAATTTTTTATCAGATGGCATTAATGGTTATTGTAACTGGAATGTTGGTATCTGCCATTTGGCTTCACTGGACTTCTGACAAAAATCAGATGATGTATGGCCAGCTAAAGGCACATGGCTCTTTTTATTCAGTAACTGATTTCATCTTCTTGTTGCTGTTGAATTAAAGTGACCTTTAACATATGCTTTGTGATGTTTACCAGATTGTAGCTGTCAATAAAACAAGGGAGCGGATGCGTCCCTACCACATCAACCATGAAGATGAAGATCCTGACATCAAGAAAATCAAGAAGGTAAGCTGCAAACAATGGAATAAAACTTTCACTGTCCAATGGTATCTTCATAGTGATTCCAGGCATACATTTACCACATGTCTATCAGACAGCAGCACAGAAGTGTACTTTACCTACATAATAAAAACAGGCATATAGCCTGGTGGGGGCTTTTAAGGTATGCAAACAAAATCTTCAATTAAAACAAAGTAAACTTTATTCATAACAATTAAAACAGTAGCTAAAAACATCAAAAAGTCAGCCATGAAGTATATATGTCATATATAAGCTCCAATATTTGAATACTGATTCCACAATGATTTAAATGTAGTTTGAGTCCCACAATGTCTTGATGAGATAGTCACGAAGTGGTAGTTGGCACAAGTGTGGACAAGTAGAAACAAGGACATGGCCTGGAGCTATGGAAGCACCGCCTATGTTGACATATCATAGGCTCCCACTACTCCCCCGGACGTGCTTCCGCTGTTACGTTCCTTGCGCCGTGGTTTCCCCTCTTGCAGCCCTCTAGGGGGGGCCGGCGTCCGGACATTAAAACAGTAGAAAGGCATCATGGCACACTCACAAACCAGCATGTAAAACAACTTGTCTCACCACTAAGGATAATAACAGAGGCTTGGATACACGTCTTCTGCAGAGGATGTGAAAGCCGCACTGCCGCGCCAAGGCACCTCTTATAGTGCGGTCCTAACTCTAAACTATGAGAGTCTCCATCTTAGAGCACATAGGGGCAGAAGATTTCAAATTGGGTGCAGGTTTGTCAGGAGGAAGCCCAGCCTCCTTAAAAGCACTGTTTTACTGTTCAAAGCCCATTTCGTGTGCACCTTACTGTATAACTGGTGACAAATTGTTGAGTGCGTTTGTCGTTTGTTTTGCTCGGCATCCGGACATGCCTCCATAGTTCCGGTCCATGTCCTTGCTTCTACTGGTCCACACTTGTCCTAACATCCTCATGAAGAAGCCATGTATGGCTTATTGGGAGCAGGTTTCGAGCAGGTTTCCTTTTTAAATGAAACCTTTTCTTCTTCGGGCTAGGTGTTTCCTAAATATGTTTTCTATTACACAGTACATGTGCAAAACTGTTAAATGGTTGAACAAGAAAAAGTATCCTGCACCAGTATTGGGAAACAGCATAGATAGAAGCATGAGTAAGTGGCTCTGCATGCCAGTTTTTTTTTATTGCAAACAATAAGTATTTAGATGATTTCAATCAGGCTGATTGGATAATGATAGTAAGATTTTTGTATATAATACTTTCTAATGTATGAATTCTAGTTGCTTTTTTTTGCTACTAGTTTATGTATGTTTCTTTTTTATTCAGTCAGAAAAAGAATATATGGTGTCAGTGAAATCTGTAGGGGCCGATTTGTACTCCAGAGTATTTGGGAGTGTACTATCCTTTCTGCAGTTTACAATAGTGTACTTAAAATTAATGGCAAGGCAAAAAAAAACCACATACAGTACATTTCCTGCAATACATGCACATTTCCGAGACCCTACAAGTACAGGCAAATACCTGTTAATCTGCCAGGAATGCAATCAGCTTTTACATTTTGTTTTGAACAGACAAATCACAGTGTTTAGCCGTTTGCCTTGGGAATCTCTGTGAACGTTTCGTGCGAATAGAGGCAAAAATAATATTTGTTAGCCTACAGTATTATCTTTTCAGGTTAAGTGTAATGTAATACTGCATTATGGCTACTAGATGAAGCTGAGGGGCATAGGAAATAAGAACGTATTTCCTATGCTCCCCAATTCCGCCTAGTGGCCATATTGCAGTATTACATTACATAGATTCAATCTGAACAGAAAATATATCTAAGAATGTTTATTTTTGCGTCTTTCTGCAGCAACCAGATGTTCAGAAAGATTTGCAGGGTAAATGGCTCTGCTAACTGGTTATAAATAGACCCCTTACTGTTAGATTAACATGTATATTGTTGGAAGAATATGTATTGTTTATCCTAAGGCTTTCATTCTATGTTGACATCTCCTTTGTTAATTGGTAAAACAGGGGGAGTTTAATGCTTCAGTTTCTCTAACATCATTTTTCTGTTCAGGTTCAGAGCTTTATGCGTGGTTGGCTGTGCAGAAGAAAGTGGAAGACAATTGTTCAAGATTACATATGTTCACCACATGCAGAAAGCATGAGGAAAAGGAATCAAATAGTATTTAACATGGTTGAGGCCGAGGCAGAGTATGTACATCAGCTCTATATCCTTGTGAACTGCTTTCTTCGGCCGCTGAGGATGGCAGCAAGTTCCAAGAAGCCACCTATCAGTCATGATGATGTGAGCAGCATTTTCCTCAACAGGTGACAACCATTTGACTCATACTGTATATACAGTCAGTTATGATTCCATTAAATGCATTTTCTTGCTTAAAGCGGAAATCCAGGAACATATAAAGGTGACATATAACGTATTAATTAATCTAGGGATGCACGATAGATGCAGATGCCAAGTATTTGGGTGACTACATGTACTTGCCCAAATGCTCCGATGCCTAGCCCGATACTTCTGGTATCAGGAAGCCGGGCAGCAAGTCATTGCACGCTGCCCGGCTTCCTGATTGGCCGGGAAGCCGGCTCCATGCTTCCGTTTCAAGAAGCCGGGCAGCGTGTAACGACTCGTTGCCCGGGCTCCTGATTGGTGTCTCGTCACCTCATGACGAGGGAGCATGGGGCCGGCTTCCCGGGCCAATCAGAAAGCTGGTCGCTGCATCATAACATGGTGCCCGGCTTACTGATTGGCCAGAAAGCCGGCTCCATGCTTTCTTGTCACCTAGTGGTGGGAAGCATGGAGACGGCTTCACTGCTAATCAGGAAGCAAGGTGGCAAGTCATGCTGGAGGAGGGATACAAGGGATAGGCCAGTGTGTGTGTACTGGTGGAGAGATCTTATAGGGGAAAGACCAAACTAGGTGTCATAAAGGTGGGATCTCATTGAGAAAAGACCATTCTGTATTCTGAAGGTGTGATGTCACTGGAGGAAGACCAAGAAGAGGCAGAATCCCCCAGTTGCAAAATTAGGTTAGCCTTAGTGGTAAAGTGAAACTGTGCTGTGGAAACAAAACTCTAACTTAGTCAATATATTATTAAGGATATACTGTATATTCATTATATAAAATGAATATGACAAAGAGATTGCAAGGTCTCAATTACAAAGCTGGTTTCCTGTCTAGTAATTCCATAGAGGATGATTTCCAAATGCCACTTTTACTTTTACTTACTTTTTGTAGCCTAAAATGGCTATTAACAGCACTGCAGGAAACAATAACCAGCACTGCAGGAAACATGTTTCTATAAGTTATAATTGTTTTTGTGCTATTAAAGCCCTGCCATTTGTTAATCGATATAGGCAGATCTGGAAGTACTTCGTGTACATAACCTGTTGCCTGGCACTGTACTTCATTCTGCTAAACTGCACAGATGATTTACACAAGAAGCTGAGCACTTTAGATAATAGGAAAGGCCTTAAGAATTCCAACATTCATTCCTCAAAGGCTTCTAGCAATGAAGGTGTTAAATTGGTTCTGTACTTTTTTATGCACCGGTGACAACATTTTTTTTTGTAAGACAGCAGCTAAATTTTATCTTCAGTGGCTATTATAGAACTGACATGATCTTGGAACATAATGATTTATCTTTCCTGTTCGATCATTCACACTGATGATAAAACGCTGCACGAAGCTCCTTTCAGTCTGCTGAGTTTAACCTGGAAACATGACTGACATAATGGAATCTTAAAACACAATTGGTATTCTGAGAAACACTGCGTGCCTAGATATTATGTCATAATCTAATAGCAGTCTCTAGGATTGACTGTTGGATTGCAATGTTTGCACATGCTGTTCCTTATCTCCTTTGATATTTCTTGTGATTTCTTAGTAGGCTATCGGGAAAGGACAGTTAATAGGAATTTAGGAAAGATAACGATAAAGTAAAATATACACATTTTGTAGCACCCCATTGTTCTGTGATAACTGAATTTGCAGTAGTGACATAAAGCTCAACTCAAGGTAAAATTCAATGTGAAATTTCCCAGTTATATGTCCCACATATAGGGGCCTTTTGGTGAGCTTTTTGTATATTTAAACACATTTTTCTCTTTCACTGGAATATACTCCTCTGCTTTAGAATCACCAACTGGGTATAGTGCCACCTACAAGAGCAGAATGCTAGGTTCATCTAGAGAAACAAAAGACATCCCAATGGCTGCTGCTGCTGATGGTCAACTCCCACTCCGCAGCTCAGGACAATTCAGTTATTAGCCTAGTGTCTAGGTGCTGGAGAAATCCTAAGGAAAACCTACGTTCCTTTTGTCGAATGGGTGACAGGCAGGATGATATAGGTCCTGGTAGTCTCCCCAGTTGCAGCAAGTATGCACATGCAGAGCTTTGCTGTGTATGGGTTTGGCTGCAAAAGACTTCTGGCAGAAACCCTGTGGACTCTTTTATTTTGCCTGGATCTTCTGTACCAAAGTCCAGTTTACCACCCTGCTTCATGGTCGCTGGCTTTTATGGCATGTCTGTTGAAGCCAAGGTCATAAGAGATGGGGGTCTTTATGATGTGGCTCTTCTTTAGTTCTGATGCTCATGTGTCCATTGTAGGCGCTTTTGGCAGTGGGCTCGGGTCAGCATGGGCACCCTAGCGGTTCTGTGGCTACACAGCCCCATATGCAACAAACTGTGATGCACTGTGTGTTAAGACACCTTTCTGTCGGAACCAGCATTAACATTTTCATTGCTTTCAGCTATAGTAGCTCTTCTATTGGATTGGACTGCACGGGCCAGCCTTCACTCCCCATGTGCATCAGTGAGCCTTGGCTACCCATGACCCTATTGCTGGTTCACTGTTTTTCCTTCCTTGGACCACTTTTGGTAGGTCCTGACCAGTGCAGACCGGGATCATCCCACAAGAGCAGCAGTTTTGGAGTTGCTCTGACACAGTGATCTAGCCACCACAATTTGGCTCTTGTCAAAGTCGCTCAGATCCTTACCCTTGCCCTTTTTCTTGCTTATAACACATCAACCTCAGGGACAAAATATTTACTTGCTGCATATTATATCCCGCCTACTTCCAGGAGTCAACAAGATAATCAATGTAATTTATTTCACTTCTCATAATGTTATGGATGCATGGTGTATATGTCACAATTCCTCTAATAAAGTTGTATTTACTACAGTGCTTTAAGTGAGACTGCTGCCATATCTTCATAGAGTAGTCTATAATTTTATGAATTTACAGTCATATTGTTAAGGCTGCCAGCTGTGTCTTGTTTACGTAGAACTGGCTAATTAATACTGACCTTTATGTTAGATGACCTGTGATTTCACCTTTATATTCTTCATTCTTTGTTGATGTATTATTTATGTATATCATTGTTCATTATTTTCAGGCCTACTGCAGACACCATTAATATTTTCTTCATACAAGTATTGAAAATCAAGTTAAATATTGAATTGCTGTTTACCAGTAATATTTGATCTTTGCAGTAATTGCCATTGAGGGATAATAATGCGTCAATAAATTGTGTTGTGGTTTTTTTTTTTTCTCTTTCAGCGAAACCATCATGTTTCTTCATGAAATATTTCACCAGGGTTTGAAAGCCAGAATTACCAACTGGCCTACTTTAATTTTAGGTATGTGAGCCTTTTTTTCTAATGCCTTTAATAATACATGAATGAGAGCTGCCAAGCAGAATGGCTACTGCCTTGAGGTTTGGGACTTGTGTGGCTTTTTGATATTCTCATATAATTTTGAAGTCTTCCTTATGTTAGTTTAAACAGCATTACTTTTTTATCAAACTGAATTATATATCTGATTGCTTCTCTTAATAACCAATCTGTTACTGAATACAAAGTACTTGGAAACATTTATTTTTATGTCTGCTCCTATATCAAGTGATATTTTTTCTGTCCTGAGCAAGATGTTTATCATTTTTGTTTAGTCGTTCATGTGCACAGGTGTGCCTGAACAGCTTTGATAATGGCAAGGTATACTTCTTTCCAGAGACATCTTGGTAGAAAGCAAATGCTTAATAGGGTAATTGGGACATAAAGTGAGTATATGTCTTATTCTTGAGTAGAAATACATGCATATATTCTAACCTGGGCATCGCTTCTCATAGAGAGTAAACAAAAATCTAATATTCCCCAAGATTATTGCCCACCAGCTGCACAATCTAAACAAAGATTATACAGGTGGCACAGTTTCCTCCTTCAGTCCAAAACATAGTGGAATGTCAATTGTTTTCCGCTTACAATAGACCTAAACTCAAAAAGTGAACTCACCAGTAGCACAATCTAATCAAATTTAGTCCAGGATTCCTCCAGGTGGCACAGTTTCTTCCTTCAATCCAAAACATAGTTGCATATTAATTGTCTTCTACTTACAGTGGACCTGAACTTAAACTGTGAAGATTTACTATGTTATACAGAAGTGTTAATTGTGCCTAAATAGCACCCTAAAAAACCCTTTGACTTAAATTCCTCTTGAAAAGTAGCCTTGTACTTCCTGTATGTGAGGGTGCCCAGACCCTCATAGTTGTACAGTATATTTCCAGTGTAAGATCAAAGGCACTACTGCCTGTGACAGCTAGTTTAATGAGATTTGGAGTGTGATTTGGTAATGTCACTAATGTTTCTGCTTACTGTTCTCCTTGCTGGAAGCTCTGACATCAGGAAGCAAAACACTACCCAGTTGACCATGTCCACACAGAGACACAGTGCAGAACCAGGCAAGGTTAGTCAGTAATGGGAGAAAATCAGATTCAGGTAGACCACAGGCCCTCTGCCTGCCTTTTTTTCGGGGCACAGCTTTCAGAGATCAGTTCCTCTTCAAATTAGCCTAGTCTGTAGGTTGGTGGTATATCACCCTTACATTATCTTTGGATGAAACTATCACTGTACAACAATGGGCAATGCACAGCTGTTCATATTAGAGAGAGCCTGATGAAGGGACCTATATGTTTCCGAAAACGTTGCTACACATTGTGTCATGACTTTTTTATGTCAATAAAGAAGAATTGGCTGAATAAGTATTGGAGTGCCGGTGACTACTCCATCTATGGTATGATTGGTGGTGCCATCCGCGTCACTGCAGCACCCACCCACAGATTATGGGTAATACTCGGTTAGGAGTGCAATGGGATTTTTTTATGTTTTGACTGCGTTCCCTACATATTGTAACATGACCCTTTTATGCCAATAAAGAAGAATTGACAGAAAATATATTGGAGTGTCGGTTACCACTTGGTCCATTACAGGTCTTCCTTCAGGCGCTTTTATAAATAAGGTCCCTATTTGTTTCTAGATTTAGTGTCCTTCTAATAACAGTTGCTTTAATTGTAATTATTCACAGTTTCTCAACTTGCAATAGATTTCATCTATGCAGATACTGTGAGGGTTTCTGCAGAGAAAACGGAGTTTAGTCTAGTGATATTTTAACGCGACATTTTTCCAGCATTACTAATGGGTAGATGAGCACTTTGTTCCTAACAATTCCTGTGGATGATATGCACAAGTCAGGAACATAGATGTAATTTACAAGCTGTGAAGAAATTGTTGGCTCGCTTCTTATCTCACACTTATCCAGGTGAATGTCTCCTGACTTTGTATAGTCACTATAAAAGGGTTAGAGGAGAATTACAGGTTTCTTGGCTTCCTTTTGAACCAGACTGTACAAAATAAGAGAACCAGGTAAAATGCATGTTCTACCCTGGTTTCTTAAAAGTCATTTGCTTTGTCAAAGGGTTTGTAGGCTTAAAGATAAGTAGTGGCATACAGTTAATATAGGAAATGATCATCACTACAGGGTGTCCACTAACACAGTACACAGTGAATGCAAAACCTGTTTTGGTTATCTCTCTCACTTTTGGATGAACAAGCAATATATGTGGCACTCCTATTAGATACAGTCTAGTTGTCATGCAGCTGACTGAAGGCATCACATTGAAATGATGGCCTCACTGTAATCTGGATTTATGATTTCAGTGTTGGACGAAAGTTTGGAGGAAAAATATGAAGGTAGCAGACAAACTGAGTTTTTTTTTTTCTTCAGCTTTTACTGCTCACCTGCTCTGACAAAGAGGAAGGCAGAAATCTTAAGCGCTTGGCAGCAGGAGGGGTGATCATAGCACTTACCTTTTCTTTTGGAGTTGTTCACTCAATGGCTAGACTAGTGAGATAATGCCTGGTTCCTGCTCCCTCGGTAGTGAGTGAGATTCTGCAGCATTTCATGCTAGACGAGGAGTAACTCCATTAACTTAGATGTCTGACTGTCCTTGGTGAATCGCCTGTCTGACGTGGCCCTCAGGCAAAACTTGACCATGTTCTGTTTTGTGCACAGTATGAATGAGAGTTGTATAAAGCATGCACGCTTCGTAGGATTGTGGACCATTGTACAGCTCTCATGCAGCAAATAGTGAATGACCCCAAATAAGAGGGGCTGTGACACTATACTAAAAACGAGACACCACGAAGCAAAAGCAATTTATCAGGGCAGAAGCAATGGTGTGAAACAGTGCCTGCAGCGACAGTTTCATGCCCCACAGGCAGCCTAATTAACTGAACCGAATTTCATATTTATTATCATGAAATATATTTTAAAAATCTTTTTCATAAAATGTATTAATAAATGTAATTTAGAAAAATCTTACTGTACATGATTGATTCCCTTGAAAAGTGCATTAATGCTAATTCAGTCACTCAGAACCACTTCTCAGTTCTTATATAATCACAAAGACGCAGCTTTCAGTTATTATTAGCTGCAAAGACCCAGCTGACAGCCCTTGCCCAGCTATACAGACTTTCTAATTCTTCCACAATAAGACATTTCTAAGAATTGGGCCTTGATCATCTACTGCTTAGTTTTATCTCAGTTCTTATGACACCTTCTTTCATGACACCACATAGTTTAAACACTAGGCTTTGCACGTGTCTGTTGGCTTATGAAAGTGTCAGTAAATTTTGGAAGTGTGATGCTAAAGTTCAACTCCAGCCAAAACTTTCCTTAAAGTTTAGTGTATTACTTACCTCAATGGCCCGTTCACACCACATCCAGTGAGTTCTGGCACGGATAGTGGCCAGAGCGCACTGGATCGCATAGAGCAAGCATTGACTTGAATGGCACCTCCATGCCACCTCCCGACCCAGAACGCATAGAGCAAGCCCCCCTGGGTTTGGTGGGCTTATCTTGAAAAATGTTTCTCGGAAATTTCTTAAAGGGAATGTATAGTGGTTTGTACCTAATTTCTCTATCTGTTATAATAAGGACTGATAAAAAAATGAATGTAAAAATGTTGTATTTCTTCCAAGGGAGTGCATCTGTACCTATACGGATGTACAGGTTTGGTTCGTCATGTAGCCACGTGCAGACGCATCCTGTCATTGAGTTGAACAAACGGCCACATGCACCAGCTATCCTTCCTGGGCGCAGCTTTCTGTACAGCTGCCTACGTTCGTGTAAATGAGGCATTAATATGATTATGGTGTATGTTGCCTAAATTATTCCCGTTATTATCGAGCCAGCCTGTTCACTGTGTACAGCAAAAAACAACAGGGCTCCTATAAGTTCCCCTCTCTGCTTCAGAAGGGGGTTCCATTTAGTCAGATGCAGGTATTCAGTTCAGGTATTCAGCAGCTGCAGGAGCAGTGGAAGCTGAATACAATAGCCCGCAGCAGGGATTCATCTATCCACACTGTTTAGCATGGATAGGGCAATCTAATGATTTATCTTGTTCAGCCCACTGGGATGGACAAAGGAAATCTAACAGTGTGTGTCTGGTTTTAGACACTCTGTATACAAGTGAATGTGGCATAGGTATTGCTAATGTGAGGTCTGGACAGTCAACCTGAAGTCTTTCTAATGTGTGTGGCAACATAACAGAGGATATTAAGAACAGAAAGCATTGCTGATTAACCTGTGTGTAGTTTAGCTCCTACATTTGGTCTTTTTGGTGAGATTCATCTGGCACTTATCAGAGAAAAGTGGCATAACTTCACTAAAAGGTGAAGGAACTTTATGATGACATAATGATTGGCAGTGTCAGAATGTTTACTCTGATAAAATAAACAGTTTTTAATTTATGAAAACAAGCCAGGATCTGTAATTAAGGAGATTCACTACTTATTTTCACAAATCAACTAATAACTCGAGTTTGGTTCCGTTCCCCCTGGCAGCCCGTCCATCAGCCAGTTCCCCCTGGCAGCCCGTCCATCTCTACCTCCTGTGTCTGTGTACGTCCTCCTGTATATTTCCTTTTTTCAGTATCCCCTTTCTTAACTTCCTCCTAACTTTTATCACCCAAAAATGTGGGAGGAGAAAGCTTATCTCAACCTAATTATGACATCAGGAAAGTTTCCCTTTTGCCTTAAATTGTCCCTGTAATTACCTGAAGAGGGAAATGTTGGACCAGGAATAATTTTGGATCTTTCCTTAAAATTCCAATATTATTCCATGAGATGACCTCTGACCTAAGGAGACTGCAATTGAAATGATTGGTTATACCATTCCTATCAAATAATAATATTGTATACAAGGTAACTTTTATGGTAAGCTCTTTTTCCTATGATGAGAAAAGAAAAAAATATCATAGTAGTCTCTTTTGTCCTTTAAGTTTGAGACATGGCAATTCCATCAATCTCACAGTTTTTACACAGTCTTGTGTAAAAGACCATGGTCAGTCCTTATCTTGTCGTTGTGGTCTGGTACCCCAAAATTTACAACCTGAGAATGTATGTGGTATGGCTCTGAGAATTGCTGATATTAGAGTTTTTGTCCAGAAACCATGAACTCAAATTCACCTTATATACTGATAGAATAGACAGAACAATGATGGCTTCCAGGATGCCCATATTACATTATGTAGAATAATATGTATAGGCTTCATCGTTTAATTCCTTTTAGCCCCAAATAGTTCCGACAGCAGAATTACAATGTTACTGTCAAAACTGCACAGTGGTAGAGCAATAGTATTGAGTGTTGTATGACAGATCATCATTTATTTTAGGCTGTGTGAACTACCCTGAGTAATGGAAGTTCAGGTAATGGGCACGTTCATACATGAGGGCCTTACATCAAGAAGCTATTGCTAACAATTTCTGATGTATACCTTGTCAGCGGTGTGAAATTTCATTTTAACATTTTTTGTATAGCTGAAGAAGACGTATCATTTTATACCATCAGCCATTTAATGTTATTCTCCAGTGGGTTGTTTTCTTCAGCATGTTGAAGGAGATAGCAAAATATTAGATTTTTCTTTCACGAAAGAGCAAAATGTTACATTTCCATTAGTTTTGGATATAGTGGGGAAGGTTTAGAATCTCTGTCCAGTTTTCCCTGTAATGTGGTATCGTTTGGGGAACAGCAGGGGAGGAAAGGAAAGCACAGATCTACAGAATGAATTAAATAGGAAGATGCTTGTTCTGCAAGTGCAGTGTCCTCTCCAGGAGGCCCATTAGAAGAACAATGAGCAACACAGCAGCCCAAACTCTTCATCTCCTCAACCCCTTAATGACATTTCAGAATGTTCAATAACCCCCAGACATTAATTGAATACATACCACTTGGAATAATAGTACTATGCACAATAAATATAATAGATAATAATATTCTTGTGAATACTGTTGACACTTCCTCATGGTATCAGCAGCTGCCAATATGGTTTTTAAAGTGCTGAATTCTTAGTAAATGCACAGCAATCCGTTTCTTGGAACTACTTCTGTTGGTTGTTATGGGTGTATTCACTGTCTCTCCAACCAAGTTTGATTTGGAGGAGTAAAGCCGGTATAGGATAGAAACATGGATGTACGTATATTCTTCCCAGAATGGTGGGTGGTGGAAGGTCGCAGACACACAACACAAAGCACACTGGTGAATAAGGAAACTGTCTTGTGGCTAGCCACCTCACTTTCAGGACTAGGAACCGGTGTGGAGCTTTGCAGAGACCTTAAAAGATTTACTAAACCCATTTAATCTTTCATCATTTATCTACCACGTATTGAGCCCCAGCTCAATACGTGGTAGATATTTAATGACCCCCCAGCCAATGAGACTTTAGGACAGCAGTGCCTAGGCACAGTCACGTATCAGGAAGTGCATTGCTATATTTAATAAGGATTTAAGGCAAAATGTATCATTTTCAGGGTAGTGCTTATGCAAAGTTACCTTTCTAGATGTTCTCTATAATATAGAACATTTTCAGTTTTGATCCACTTTAATATCAGTTTACTCACATTACTTAATCTGTTTTCAAATTCGTTTACATAAATCCATTTCCTACAAAAAAGTCAGTCTAAAAAAAGCAAATGTTTCAGAATAGAACATAAATGTGTTCAATGTAGAAACATGTGACCTGCTTGTGTGAATGAAGAATAGAACCTAGGGGGTCAGCTCTTAGTAGGAGATCTGCATCGTGTAACCTCTGCAGCATTTCTGTCATTTTACTCATTTTCTCTTACATCTCCTTGGTTTAACCAGCTGACTTGTTTGATATTCTGCTGCCGATGTTGAACATCTACCAAGAATTTGTTCGGAATCATCAATACAGTCTGCAAGTGCTGGCGAATTGTAAGCAAAATCGAGACTTTGACAAACTCCTGAAGCAATACGAAGCCAATCCAGCCTGTGAAGGGAGGATGCTGGAAACTTTCCTCACTTACCCCATGTTCCAGGTATTCTCAGTTTACCAACATTTTGTTTTATAGCACTCATCAGAGTGTCTTTTTAAACATACAGGGTTATTCACAAAAGGGTGAAGAGTTTGGAGAAGGCAGGAGAAGTGAACAATCTAGGACAACATAGCTGAACTGGAAAGTGAGCTGAATTGGAGAATTTGTACAAATCAGCTTTGTTGTCCTAGATTGTTCACTTCTCCTGCCTTCTCCAAACTCTTCACCCTTTAGTGAATAAGCCTGACAGTCCTCGGGTTGATATTGTGCATACTGGTTCCTGTCCTTTGCGTTTTAGTGTATGCTTGCCTCTCCCTTCCTCTGTCTCAAGGCTCTCCATTGGTCACACTTGTGACAGATGGCCTCAGTGACCAAATAGGAATGTGAAGGGGGCACAACTTTTGAAAAGTGTGTGCAACTTTAGCTGCCTATCCAAATCTACAAGGTTTAAGGTTTTATTATAAGACATCTCGGTGTAGCAGGCTAGAACATTTGTAAAGCCAGCCAAAATTATTTTTTGCTTGTCATTGCTTCTTAAATGCTTGCTGGTTCTTAGACTTATGTTTTCAAGCAAAGATAAAATATTGCCCCCTTTAAGATAATCTCTAAGCAAACATCTAAATACTCAGATGAAATACATATATGCAAGCTGCTTTAGATGCCAAAGGATATACATTTTCCTGAAACTTACAGTCCTGCCAGACAATACAACCAAGCCAGTGACCGCACTTTTCTCTAGCGCACTTAAAGCCCATCTCCATGTGTACAAAAAAGTACCTCTGCACTGCAAGGGTTAGGTGCTCATTTTGTCTAAGGGCTGATATAAAGCAGATTTAGTTACCTGATCCCTACTCCTGCTGGCTGCCCCCAGGCAGCTAGACCAGTCCCCACAGTATCTTCTCCCCTTCATTCCAGAGGTCTAAGGACCGCTGACGCCATATCAACTAATGCAGGTGCAATAGACCTGCATTGCATTAGGCGTGAGGACACTGAGGGACTGTAAACCTGCTGCAGTGTTGGGGAAAGGTGAGCGCTGACTACTGGGGGAGTGGGGTTTAGGCAAGTAAATCTGCTTTACTCCAGCCCCGAGACATAAATAAGCACTTAACACTTGTAGTGCTGGAGTTGCCACACTGCAAGTGTACTTTTTTTTGCCTGGCGAAAGCACAGTTGGGTCTCTTCTCTCCACCAGGCTTGTGGTTGGATAGTGAAGGAGCAGCAGGCTGCTCTCTCCACCTCTCAGCATGGAGGGGCTGCTACTGCTGCCCCTCCTATTCCAGGTTAGGTTGCAGCTGTACAGGGGATAACAATACACTGATATCAAGAAAAATTCATATATTCAGACTAGCTGCAGTTAAAAGTACATTTAAAGTAGAACTCCGGACAAAACTGTTGTTATTCCTTGCATTGGGGCTACCCCCGCACTGCAAGGGTTACATGCTTGTTTTTGTCCAGGTGCTAAAATAAAAAAAGTCATACTCACCCGTGGAGCTGGCTGGCTCTCACAGCACTCCATCCAGCCTGTCTCATCCTCCATTGCAGTGATGGTATGTCACTCGGCATCCTCACATCCTATACACTGTGTATAGAACGTGATTACCCACGGGGCCTTAGACCGCTGCAGCAGAGGGGGAGAGAGGCTCCAGGGACTGGTCTAAGAGCAAGCCGGCTCCAAGGATTTGGTGAGTTTAACTTTTTTATTTTAGCACCTAGACAAAAACGAGCACTTAACCTTTGCAGTGCCGGGGTATCCCTACTGCACGGTTTAAAAACAGTTTGCGCAGACTTCTACTTTAATATTATATTTAATATTATGAACACATAACTGCAAATATTAGTTATCCTATCTGCCTGGGTTCTTTTTATATCTGCCATGAGTTCTGCTTTAAAATAAGTGAAAGAAAATCTGTAATTGTTGAAAACAGCACATTGCTTCATTCATTCTCATACCAGAAGACATGCATTAAAGTAGATGCAAAGGGAAAACAGGGTTGTTGCCCACAGTGATGAGATGCGTTTTAGCTGTATGTCTCTACAATGGGGCGGATGTGTGGAACATGATTACTATGAGGCCACATCCAGATATCAGGACTACTATAACTGCTTTCATGGAGCAACGAGTCCTTGTATATTTTGTCTGTGTAACTCAGGGACAGAAGATGCCATTTCCGGTCCCATTTCACCACTGGGAGTCCTTGACAGCAGACATTTATAACCTATTTTAATTGTCTTGTTGAACAGATAAATACACGTCTTTCACACAGTGAGGCATGACCATGTATAATTATTGGTTGGTTGGCAAACAAATGGCTCGTGTTGCTATGGTTACAGCAGTAAAAGCGTTGTGAATGGAGTATGGATACTTTAATTTCAGAGCAATAAACTGAATTAATGTGTTTATTTTAACTCATAATTAAATCTTATACGAAGTGCTTTATATTATGTTTTTTAAAGAACTCAGGGCAGAAATTTTATTGAACCTTGCAGTGGGGCTACCCCCCACACTGCAAGGGTCAGGTGCTCGTTTTTGCCTATGATCCCCAAAAAAAGTTATACTCACTCAATCCTCCAAGCTGACAGACTGATGAGAAGCGCTCCTGGCCGCGCTGACCAATGAGATGCGCTTTTTAGCAAGAAGCACTAATTGGTCAGGTGACTGCACTGACCAAGGAAAGCTCTCCATTTGTGGGTGTAATTTGGAATACCTATTGTAGGGCAGCAATGTTGTGTGCGAGCAGCGGGAGGGGGGAGAGGGGGCAGATTGGTGGGGGTAATTTAATTTTCCCAAATTTGCCTAGGAAAGTGAAATTACACGTTAAAACCGCTTTCAGTTTGTTTTTGTTTTTTTTTTGGGGGGGGGGGGGGGGGGGGGTTTTCCATCATGTTT